TTAGTACAACAAACTAATCAAATGGACAATATGATCACAGTTGTAAGCCATCAAATTATGAATGATAACCTTTATCATCAGGTACTACTAAATAGATAAGAAATAGAAAAGTCAGCAAGAACTATGTTTAAGCATAGATAAATGTCATTATATAGATAAGAATGTACTAGATACGAAAAACAAAATAGAGTGCCTCATAGACATAACTATAGTTGTACACGAATTAAACTTAACAGATTCTCATGGCTGCTAACTGATATAAACGAGTTAAATGTAAACAGAATCGATTTCACTCAATTGTAAAAAGATATCGATGTAACTATTTTCATAGATTTTGATAGGATCACTATGCAATTTTATTTGTTCGTGTCAATAATAATAAACATAATTCTATTAATAAAATTAAGATTTGATTTTGAAGTATTATTCTTGTAATCCGATATTATCAGCACAAGAAAGTTAAGCACAGGGACGTTCAGAACGAAGAACAATCACACTGTAAAATAAGTTTACTACGAAACTCAAAACCTGTACTAAAACTGTACGGAATCTTATAAAGGGTTTTCCTGCGACTAGGCGGGAAGAATCGTCACTACCGAAACCCAAAAACTCCGAATTCATGTACAAAACGTTCTTAGAATCAACTAGATATGCACCGAACCCAAGCGTTCGGGGTTCAGCCTTGAGCCTAGTTATTTTTAGTTATTTTGATAAAAGGGTCGTAAAAATGAGTCAAAAATAAGTATTCTACAGGCCAACTATAATAGGTCTACACACAATGAAACGAAAGATTCAAAAGCGGGAGAGCAGAAGGTATCTTAAAAGAAAATCAAAGATATTCGAAAATACTCGAATAAGAAGTTGACCGACTCTTAGAATGCTTCCATGATCACTCATAATACAAGAAGCGCTTGAATGATCGCCTAAATACTCAATGTTGTCTGAATCTGGTTGGATAGTTTCCGAACTCTTGCTCCATAATGAAAAGCAAACGTGACTCGTTCGGTCTAGACCACCAAACCAGAAATCCAATTCTTTGAATGCTTAGGATCAACGCAACCTCCAAAATGTTCCTGCGCGATGACCACCTCTTTAGGTTTTATACTAAACTTGATACAGAACCTCTCAATATTTTTCTTGGAGGCACGGGAAAAAACTTGAAAAGCTTTTGCACCAAATCTATAAGATTTCGCATTGTGTGTGAACGTTTTGCAGATTAGACCGACCATAACAACGTTTTATACATGGATTTAAAATCTTTGGGTTTCGGTAGTGACGATTCTTCCTGTCTAGTCTCAGGAAAATCTCTTTTAAGATTCCGTACAGTTGTAGTAGAGTTTTTGAGTTTCGTAGTAAACTTTTTTTACATTGTGATTGCTCTTCGTGGTGAACTTCCCTATGCTTAACCTTCTCGTGCTGAAAATTCCGAATTCCTTTAGCATTTATAGTACTGCTTTCAAACTTTTATTTTATGCGAAAAAGTATACTATTTAGTTGCTTCGATAAACAGACATAAAAATAAAATGAAATTATCTCAAATTCCATAAAACAGCAATTCATTCAGAATTTATTTAGTATCTTCGTGCTCCTATAAAATTAGATCGATATCATTAAGTACAAATTTGCTTATTGTTTATGATGATGCTGGAATGGAACGCAGTGCTGATGCGAAACGTCATAATTGTAGATAAATACATCTATCATTATCTGAAGATGAGTTTTCATTGAAAACAAATTCTTTTAGAAAAAACAATATAGCTTTCTACTTCTGTCACCTGTTCTCAAATGCAATAAATTGCTGAATGAAAAGGTAAAACTATTTCGAAAAGTCGAGATCCCATCCATTGTTGGGTTGGATACAGAAATCTCAACATACCTAAACTCGTGATCTGAATCATACAAGGTATCTGATCCAGTTACAAGACACTGGTTTAGACGAATAATTTTGGAAGAGAACATCATGCAACTACATTTGCCATTCGAAATATTATATGATTTCAATTATCTTTCTTGTTTGAGAAATATAATCATTATAATTCAATTATTGAATGATTCAAAACAAAAATTAATAGTTGATCATAATGAAACACAACAATAATTAGGAAAAGAAACTTTCTATAGATCATTATCATGCTCAGCTCGTCTTACTATGATTGTTGCAATTAGTTTCTCTTATAAAAAAATGTATGAGAAGTTTGTCTCTTCACAAAAATCCATTCGTTTTAGGTTCTTTTTTTGTTTTATTCATTATCTCAAGATAAAACAAATCTCTCGATACTTGTTAGCAGAAATTAATAGTAACTTATCACAGTGGTCAAAAAATAGAACAATCTTCTTGGAAACAACAATAGATTATCATTTCATAATTTTTTTCCTAGTTTATCATGTTTACTAATATAAACACTATGAATTTGTTATCTTCGGATAATCGTGTTTCCAACTTCCGCGAAAATAGTGCCAAATACGTGCTTCTGGATCATCTCTCCCTTTTGCACCCAACAGATATGCAGACGGTTGAAATCCTGATACAGGTAAAATATAAACATCACCAATAAGTCGAGTATGATTTAATTTTGTTAGTGTAGGCCATTGCACATGATATGTTTCATTAAGATAATCAAATACAGTATCTGTCCAAAGGCCTGGACCTGTCCAGTCCATAACAACATTCAGATTTAATGATTTATTTAAAAAGTGTTTTGTTTGTGTCACAATATTTTGTATC